CTATTCAGGCAAAACTTGTCTCATGAACGTAGATGCAGAAGTTTAAGATCAGGGACCTATTAAACGGTACAGCTTTCTAGGCTTCCTCTAACACCTACTGAATCATAATCTCTGAGCATGGAGCCCAGTGAGAGGTGAAATTTCAGGATTCTACGTAATTCAGAGGCAGCAGTTTTCAAGGCAAGCCTTTGCAGACACTTGCTTTTCCAACTTCCCAGTTAACTGAACTAATTAGTAGGCTGTTACTATGCCATCATGCATAGATGTCCAAATGTCCAAGGGTTTTCAAAACACAAGTTGGAGATACGCATTTGAAATAGCATTTGCTTGCTGTTCGGGAAGAGGTAATACAGAGAACATCACTGTGGTGTACGTCCAGCCCATAAGTTCGCTGCCTCCTGGCTCCTCTGGGAACACCCTACCCCCATCTGCTCGGGTAGATCCCTAAGAGCCATATTATTCTACAGGCGGAGGCATCAGGTTGTCAACCCTTCACCAAGGGCTTCTCTCCTTGACAACACCTGCCTCTCCAACAGATCAATTCACAATTACTTTCAAGATGATTAGCGTTGTTAGAAAAAGTCAATGTTTAGAATTACTAACTGGATTATTAAATCTATAGAATAGATGGTAATGTTGAAAGCCGATTATTTACTATAATCAGGAGACATTTTGAAAGAGACAAGAGTGTTTTATTTGTTCTGTTTGTTGTAGTTTCCAAACGCTAGAAGCCTAAAGGACTCAACAAAGTATCTTTTTTACCTGAAGAAGAGTATTGGGAAAAATAAACTGCTGCCTATAAGTCATGTCTTATTCAACGCAGGCTGCTATCACAAAATGCCATAGACTGGGTGGCTTACACAAGAAATGTGCATTTCTCACAGTTCTAGAGTCTAGAAAGTTCAAGACCAAGGTGTCAGCGTGGTCAGGTTCTGGGGAGGGCCCACCTTCTGGCTTCTCTCGATGTCCTCACACGGCCTTTCCTCTGTGCATGCATGGGGAGGGAGAGAGGGCAACCCCCTGTCCCTCTTCCACTAAACCCACCCTCATGACCTAATGTGACCCTAATTACTTCCCAAAGGCCCAATCTCAATATGTAGTCACATTGCAGGTTAGAGCTTCGACATGTGAATGGGGCGTGGGGAACAGTCCATAACTCGACAGAGTTTCAGAGGAACAAGGAGAAGAGCTAGAAGTGTGCGACCAGTGAAGGTTTCGGAGAAGAAACCATCATTCCATCCCTGCCTGTGATGCGCTACAGATCAATGCTGGGCACCGCAGAGAAACCGGGATTTCTTGGCCGCTTCCGTGGGTCTCGGGGAGGAAGATGGCAATCCCCCTGAGAAACCCTGGTGCCTGAAGATCAGCGCAGGAGTGGAGGCGGGGGTGAATGTTAGCACACCCAGGGCTAAGGAGCCTGACACAGCTCAACTTCAGGAAGCTCCTTCAGCTCCAGGTTATGGGAGAGCGTTCAGTGCTTCCTGAGGCAGGGCGGAAAGCACCTGTTCAAGAGCCAGTAGACAGGAGGGGCCTTAAAGAAAGCAAATACCATGCCGTTAGCAAAATCTGCATAGACCGGACAGCCGGATATTATGGTTACGAGCCTTCAGCAGTGAAGGCAAGGAGGAAAAGGGGGCCATGCCCCCAAAGCGATGAGAAACATTAGTATGCGTCAGCAGAGGCCAGGACCCGATCAAGAACCGAAGGCCCTCTCCTTCTAATACCCTGATCGTGTATGACCGCACCCCCACTCCAGTTCCTTTCCAACCTTAGAGGAAAAGTCTGAGGGGAGAGGAAAGTGGGGAGACCTGAATTCATGAAATCGAGAATTATTGAGTTAATCTAGGTCAAACTTTTACACTGCCAATCAAAACTATACACAAACCTGCCTCAAGCCATTCTCTTCTCTACAAATATGGCTTATGTGTATTTACTTGTGCAGATTTGCTGATCACATTTCTCTTGAACGCCCTGAAATGCTCCAGCTTTGCCTTATTTATATCCTGACACCTAACACAGTGTATAATGGGTGGCCAGTCAGTGCTTCTGACTAATAAACTGGATAGATAAATACAGGAATGAATGAGTTAATGAGTGAATGAAGGAAAAATAAATGACTAAAATGTCCTTCCTAGAATCATCTCCCAATTTGAATCTGATCTGACCTTCTAGGAACAGATTAAAGCCTCCTTTTTGGTTTTGTTTTTTTCTAAGAAGGATTTAGGGACCATATCTGCCATAGTTTTTTCAATCATTGCCATTTTACCATATATTATTATCTTGTGTTATTCCATAACAATACAGGCATTCATTTGCATATGTTTGGATACATAATCTCCTCCTCCAAGCGGTAATCTTCTTGAGGACAGATATTGTAGTTTGGAGAGGATTAATCGAGACGAATATGCAAGTTGCTGAACCAATAATGCTAGCCAAACACACACAAACAAAGCTAACCAAAAGAGAGAACCCACGTGGTAAGGCAGGAAGTATAGCCACACCTGTGTCTTCTTTAGGACTCTAAGGACCAAAAGGATAACCACATTTAGTGATACTTCTCTACTATTTCATCACAGCAGGGTGCAGCAAACCCAAAGGTTGTGGTTCCTGCTGCTTTCAAGGGGAATGTTTACAGTGAAGGGAAATGCGTTAAACACAGCAAAGGATGCAAGGAGGTCTTCAGCCGTGTTGTTGTCACTCTCAGGCTGACTTGGCTGCCCACCCGGACACTAATTACGTTAATGCTGGCACAACATTTAGTACATTTTCATGGGTGATGATTAGGAAAATGCAAGCTGTCCTCATTGGTAATAGCCTGCTATCACTACCTTAATTTTTAGCACTCAGGAAAGTAAACCAGGAGAATTATATTTGGAAAACAACATTTTATGCAGCTTAAGTGTGTTAAGTCTGGGGAAATAATATGATTCAATGTATAAGCTTTGTTTTTCTAGCTAGTCTTTAATTCTCTGAATTCAAAGTGCCAAGCAGACAATTGATTTTGGAAGCAATAGACAATACATTGCACTACACAAGATTTTCAAAATAATATGTTTGTAGAGTCAGTGATCAGAATAGATATTAATTTAGATAAAAATAAGAAATAAAAATAAAAAGATGGACATTTATATTTTAGAAAATTTTTATATATTAATATTTACATTTTTGGATTTTACACTTGATATTTTTCACTTCAGAAGAAATATATTTTCCCCAAATCATCAAATATTACATTTGCTCAGCACATTTGCACTGGTTTTGTTAATGCTTATCAATATAACACTCCCCTTCCTAGTTTTCATTATTTTTATCTATTTTCCACTGTATTCACATATTAAGACAAAGAAACACTAGGAACTAGCTTTGGAATGATAACTTTGAATTCCTTTCAAGAACAGATTTCTGTATTAAAAATAAACCTATCATTTATAGGATTGATAACTAGACTACAATTAAACATTTGCTCTTACTGGTTCAAGTTTATTTCATGAGTATCATCCCTGTTTTAGTGGAGAATGCTTTCTTTTCCTTAAGTGAACTTGAAATGTAGCTTTTAATGGTCTGAAAAAATAGAGTTGGCTTTTCTAGATCAATTTGTGCATTAGAGTCACTTTACTTTTGAATACATTTATGCAGCTACCCATTTTTGTAATGATGAGTTTAGGGTAAACACACTCTAGCTGTTTCTGAGCACTTGTTTAGTCCATTCCCTTTCTCTGTAAATGAGGACACCAGGAAGTATTGTAACCAATATGTATAATTAGACATCTACCAGTCAAGGCTTACTGTCTGTTGGTATAAACCTAGATTAACTTATTACCACCAAGCCACTCTTCTAGATATGCAAGCAGAATTGATTTCCTTCTTCTTAATTTAGTTATATAATTAGATTAGGATGTTCACTGATATCTCTCCTTTTCAAACTTGAAGCAAACATAAATGGTTGATAGTAAAAAAGACTTAATTCTTTTCAAGCAAATTTCTGCAATGGTGGACAGCTAGGTGAGGCTGTTAGAACAGACAGCCATGGCTGCTCAGTGTTCACCTCACAGTTCCCAAATGTCCCCTTGGATCACAACAGAAAGTCTGAAATAGTTGTCTAAAAGGATGAAAAACTTCCTCTGGACTAATAAATAGGAATACTGACCTCTTCAAAAGCTCCATTTTCTATTTTGAAGTTTTTCTGTTTTGTTTTGTTTTAATGAATGTAACTCAAATTGTCCCTTTTATTTTTAAAATTTCCCTGAACCCAAGAGAGAGTACATGCCAATTTTACAGCTTAGTCCTTCTTCCCTGTACCTCCAGCCTCGAACCACTGGTCATTTTGACCTCCATCCTGGTGCCAATGCTTGACTAGTAACTGTGTCTGAACTCAGTCAAAAGGTCCTTTTGTGTTGTTCCTTTTTCCCCTGTCACAGGCTTCCTTTGTAATGTTATATGTGACCTTATCTCTACTCGACTTTCTCTATTACAGTTTTTTCCTCTAATTTCATGATATGACTCCTTATTTCATCTATGTTACCACACTCCTTAAGTATAGATTTGTCATTTAGATTCGCTTTGGAAATTAAAGAGTATAACATTGACAATGTAAGTTAAAATAACCTCTATAGAAATTCTTGGTTTCATTAAATAAAATACATAATCTATAACTTTAAAACAAACAAAACTTAATTTTCCAACAAAATCCACATTAACATATTGCAAACAGCAATTACTTTCACCTTATTGCTTACCCATTGTTATTCATATTATTTTCCCATTATATTTTGTAACACCAGCCAAAATCTGTAGTTGTTGCCCAGATTCTCCTTGAATGTCTTCATAGCCCACTTTAAAGATATTTTATGTGAATATATTTGTTATAATCAATCTATGAAAACATAACCAGTTTACAGGAAACAAAACATCTCAAAGATATCCAGTGTTTTAATAAGTAATGCAGTGCATGTCTTTGCATCCTCATTTTAAATTAAAAACAGTTAAAGAAAATATCTTACCCCAAAAGTTTTCTGGCCATAGGCTCCCTGAACTCGTTGTGTTAGTAGCCATAATATCCACAAGAAATAGAAGAGAGAGAAGAAAAAAAGAAAGAAAGAAAAGCCAGTATATCCAAAAGAAGCACTTTGTTTCTATGTCTTTGTGGTTCAGGAGAATAATAATTTTCACACAACCCCTCATATACTTGTGTTTGCATAAAAGGAAACAAGTGTATCATGTTTCCTGCTTTTATACTCAAATTAGCAACTGTTTTTCTTATCTTAGAATTCCACATGGTTCCTGAGACACAGAACAATTTCCTTCTCGTCATTTCCTCAGCTAAATTACAAACACACTCCTTTTGACCACCTCCAAACTGCTTTTGGGATGAGAGGTTTTTTTCTCTTGTCCCTTACCCATCTCCTACTGACATATAGAAACATTCCAAACGCTCAGCTACACCACTTGGGGTTACATTTATGTGGGATGGAGCAATCGACTGCTTTCCAATGTTTGAAAATTATATTTCTATAGCAAGTTATGGAAGGGAAAAACTCTTCAGAAATCCGTATTCTGTTCAAGTACAATTAATTTTAATACCTATTCTTTCTAAATCTCAGTTACTTAAAATTCTTAACATGGCTCCTGCTCTTTGGTATATTAATTTAGAAATGTTATTTCCTTCATTGTATAAATATTTCCCCCAAATGTAATTTATATTTAGTTTTTTAACTAAAAATGGTATTTAAACATGAAAACTAGAGGTTTGACAGTGAAGGAACCTATTTATAATCAACTAGGAGAAGCATAAAGGCAAACTTTCGAGTCTACAGTATTTTAAATGCTACAACAAAGAGGACAATGATCACAGGAACTGTTTCTTCATGGACAGGTCTGAGAGAAGTGATGGCTTTGGTACTGTGCATGGAAGCATGACCACAATTTTACTAAGAATAGAGAGGGGGAATAAGGTAGAAAGGGCAACAGAACAAAGGACAGGAATTATCATAATTCCCTCTGAGGACATTCCGGCTATGACGATAGCGTATGGAAAGCGTGGCTGTAGGCAAGAATTATATGAGACTGTTCAGGGGATGTAGGTTAGTTAAAATTGCAAGGTTTTTTTGTTTTTTTTTCTGCAAGATGTATTAGGTTAGACTTGATCCTCTGAGCATCGGGAAGTTATTGGAAGTAGGAGTAACTATGCCAAAGCACCCTTAATAACTGCACTAAACTGTATTCAGAAATCTGGTTTCCTCAGTCTTTGACTAACTCTAGCATTAACTCTTGTATAACTTGCATTCACCCTAACTGTCATTAGAATTTAATTTAGTGTGAAGCAGTAATCATCTTTGTCAAGTAACATATTCCTGAGTAGCTGGAAGAAAATCTGAAAAAAGTAACGTGAATTTTTTACAATATTAATTTTTGCAGTCCTAATTCTCTAAAAACTAGGTTGTTTCTGCTCATTTTCTTAACATTGCTAGATTTACATTAGCTGTAGTGTATTGGAAATTAAAATATAGGCAACCTCAAGGATGGTACAGAAAATATAGAGACTTCATTGAGCAAGTATGAAGACTTATCTCCATAATATTATTGCTAAGGTTTTTTTCCATATAATCAAGTAAATAAAATACTCATATTATTGCTTAAGGAATGCCAAAAAAAGGGGGAGGGGTTCACAGTTTAATAATTACCTTTAGTTTTCAATATTTCTGGACAAAATTTATAAAAGTAGAAAATTAAAAAGTCATCTTATTTCTGAAAAAAAATATATAATCTGGATGGAAGTGTATTGAAATACTTCTAAATTCTTCTAGAAACATGGAGTAGGATTCTTCAATTACTTTAGGTATTTTAAAATACAGATTTGGTTGTATTATAGGCTACCTTATTCAATAGATACTACTTTCAGAAAGGGATACATTTTACTTAAAAAATTATATAGATTGCATTTGCCCTAAAACAACAAGCTAAATGAGTAGAATAGATGAGCCTGGCTTTGTCAAAACTGCCTTCTGTGCAGAAACACAGCTCTTTCCATCCCAGGGCTGGGATAAAGGCTGAGACTTCCTTTCATTGTTTCATATTTAATCATCTAGATTTTCTCCCCACACATTTTCACTTTTGCAGATGGTCAGAACCCAGTCAAAACCCTGAAGAAAAATTGTTTCCTATCAATTTATGTCCCAGGAATATTTTTCTTTTCTGCTTAACAGTCTGTTGATAGCATTAGTTCTTATCTGTGTATGTAATTTGCTTGGTAAGGATTCGCACTGTTCTTTGGCAGAGATCCATGTAAATGAGTTTATGTCTATGTGATTTTCGAGTCTCATGACTTATAATGCCAAAACAGGAAGTCAATTTTTATCTTTACAAAAATGTGAGGTCTGCTTTTCTACTGTTCATTATTCCACAAGTTGGATCTTTAGATGTGAATTCTCCAGCAGTCATGAAATGTGTTTAGAGATTTGTTCTTTCCTCAGGTAGTCACAGGACTCCCTCCCTCCTTTCATCCAGGTCTTTACCTCATCTCCAGACATTCCATAGTTATCCTGTCTAAAGTGTTCCCACCTGAACCACTCTCTCTTTCTGACCCTGCATCATCAATTTCTTCAGAGCACTTATCACTCCCTGACATTATGCTATACATATTTTTGCGGTTTTTTTGGAGGGGGGGTACTGGGGGGGTTGGTCTCTTCCATGAAAAGTTAAGTTCCATGAGGAGAGGAACTTTATCCATCTAGTGTTCTTAATAACATTTGTTAATGTTACTAATAACACAACAAGCTCTTCATAAATATTTGTTCAATAAGGAATAAAATAATGCCAAGGGATCTGAAGATGAAAGAACAGTAAAACCTTGGATTGCGAGTAACTTGGTTTGTGAGTGTTCCACAAGACAAGCAAACATTTCTAATGCATTTTAACTTGGTAAACGAGCGATGGCTTGCAATATGAGTTGTTGGTTTCTGGAATGAATTATGCTCGCAAACCAAGGTATTACTGTATGTAAAACATTCCAAGTCAGGTTAATAAAACATATTACTTACCATTTAAAAACAAAAGTTAAAAGCCTGTATTAATAGGCATTCAATATTTTTAAAGTTTGGGTTATAACTTCATAGAGTCACAGAATGCAGAAGAAAATTGTCACACTTAAGAGAAGATAGGCATTTGACTTTAAACTTTTTTTTAACTTTATCTTTAAAACTATCAAGGGTATTTTTTTCTTCTTCATATTAAATAGATCCATGCAATTTACTTAAACTGAGAGTACTCTCAGAATATATAAGAATTACCCACCAAAAATACAATTTTACATATATTTGAAAAAAAAAAAGATAACAACCCAGTTTTTAAAAAATGACTTGGAGGATAAGCTAAAAGTAAACATTTTAACATATGTCTTTTTTCTTTTTTTTTACATGGTGTGAGAGTTGGTCTTTTTCGTTTCTCCCTAAATTCATTCCCTTTGGTAGAAGGATGACAAAACAAAGAAAGATTAAAAATAGAAGTCAGGTTATGTGTGTAAAAATCTTGTTGCTAGGATTTAAGATTTTACAAATTGCAGTGCAGATAACAATAATTTCCAGGGAAGGGGGGTTGTATTTTTTTCCTAAGTAAAGAAGTATTTGAATGTGTGAGTGAGGCTACAGTACGTGATGGTCAGACTCGAGGGAGATTACTGGGAGATGAGCAGTGAGAGGCACAGCCCTAGACCTGACAGGGTAGAAGAGAAGCGAGAGAGAAGCAGCCAAGAGGAGGTCCGAGAGAACCCAGCCTAAGAAGGATTTAGCACGCTTTCATTGGTTCTGAGATGTAGGTGCCCTGTGCAAGGGGCCAAGGGTGGTCCTCAGCGGACAGCAAGCAAGGAAGTGGGGAGCTCAGTCCTACAACCACCAGGAACTGAATTCAGCCAACAACCTGATCCAGCTTGGCGCAGATTCTCCCCAGAACCTCCAGTAAAGGATGTACATCTGCTGACATCTTGATTTCAGTCTGAGGAGACCCGGAGCAGAGAAATTAGTTAGACCACACTGTGACCAGGCTTCTCCCCCAAGGAAACAGATTATTTCCAGAGGAACTCAGTTCCTCTAAAAGCTGAGCTGTGATGGTAGCAACAGAAACCAGAAGACAGTGGAATAGTTATCTTCAAAGTTCTGAGAGAAAAAAATAAACTGTCTACCTATAGGCAGCTGAGTACACAGTGATCCTATATTTCAAAGACAAAATTGAAATACAAACATTTTCAGGAAAATAAAAATTGAGTGATTTTATTAGCCTATGCTAATTACTAAAGAATTAAGGTCAGAAGGAAGGAAAATTATTCTAGAGAGAAAACGCTATGTAAAAAATGGTCCATCCAAATGTTTATATTGTAAAAATAATAAGTCCTAAATTGTTGCAATAAAAAAAAATCAAGACAAAACTAAATCCCATAGGAAAATACAGCTTATAAGTTAAAAGTACAAAATAAGCTAAAGTATTCAAGGTGCCTTAATTGTTCAGTAAGAAGATAAAGATATTGATGATTAAGTACAAACAGAAGAAAAGAATGAAAGTTCCTTAACCTGAAATATAGTATGAATTAAAAACAAATTCAGCAAATATAATAGTCATTAAAGAAATATTAGAACATTTCATTCCCTTGATAATTTCTTTAAAATGTTCTTTGAAACAACAAAATATTTGATCACTCTCACCATTTATATTCAACATTGAACTGCACAGCCTTGCTAGTACATGAGAAAAATAAATAAATGTAAAAATACAATGTAAAAGGACTGGAAAGATAAAAATGAAACTATAATTTGTAGATTGTGTGATCGTCTACATTGTCACAAACAACAGGACACGTACGAAGGAAAGAAGTCATTACTGGCAACAAAATATAGCAAATAAAAATATATAACCAAAAAATGTACAAGATTTAGGTGGAAAATAATTTTATTGAAGGACATGAAAGAAAACTTTTAAAATGTAGTGATATAGTAAATAATATGTTCATGAGTGGGGACCTTCAGTACTGAAAAGATATCAACTCTCTTCAACATACATTTTTTTAATTCATAAAAGTATCCTAACAGTATTTTTAAAGAAATTTGGCAAGTTAATTCTAAAATATATATATGGAAGATCAAAGGGCCAAAAAAGCCAACACACTTAAGAAAAAAAAAATACTAGGTTAGGGGACTGATAGATGTTGTGACT